AATACTGAGAGAGTTACTGCTTTTTGGCAGTAAATGTTGGATCTGGAACTTTCTTTCCCAGCAGCTTTAATGCAGTTTGTTTGAGGCTTGCTTTTGAAATTTTACTCTTCAGTCTTTCTGCAAACACGCCGTAGAATGGATTTGCTAAAGGTAAATTGTGAGGCTGTTTGTATTAAGTGTTCTGATGTAGTCTTTTGGTCTAGTGAAAAGTTAGAATTTAATCCCACTTTCTAATACCTTGCTGAATTGCGATCTAGAGAGGCTATGAAACAGTATTATGGACTGCCTGAGTGCTTCTGACTATTGTTTTCCAGAGAACTTGGTATTTTTGTGCCCTTTGGTTATTAATTGAGGGAATGTCAATAACTTAATAAATGGAGAAAGCCTACATATTCTGGAAGAAGGAACAATGTTAGTGATTGCTTGAGAAAATGGTCTGAAAAGACTTGTTTATTTTTACATGAGATTGTGTCTGAAACAAGGCCAGAGCCCATTTCTTTAAGGTGGCATCCAGCAGTTTGAGACCTTTTTTTCCCTCCCTGTATAGCGTCCTCTGCTCTCTTTATTATATGCTTCCAGTTCTAAAAGCAAATACATCAAGGCTGTTTTAGGCAACAGTCTGTCTTGCTACGCAATCTGGAAGTTAGTGCTTTCTCATGAGCTGCGTGTTCTTCTCTTTTTCTTGTAACCTATCTTTGCGTGTAAGCCAGAAGTTCTTGCATAGGCCAGGATTTCTTACAGTTGTCTCCAGCCACTCACTGTGGGAGTCACTGTGTACTCTGTTTCTGCAGCTACTCACCTCAGGAGCTGTGACCTACAGTTAAAGTCCCAAAAGGTCTTTCATATTGCCCAGTTGAGGCTAGTCTAACCTTAGTAGATGCATGGTCATATCTCCTTGAGAGCATAACTCTATCTTCTTTCCCCATCTGTCTACAAATTTCGACTTTGCATTGGAATGGATGAAGAGGATTTATGTCACCTTTCCCAGTATTGAAGTGGTGATATCATAACCATTTCTGAAGAGTTCATCTGATAATATCTCTGGTGTTCCTGCTAAAGTGAAAGGCTTTGGAACTTAAGCTTAGTATCTTTGTTTCTAGATGCAAGTTTTTTTCCGACTTTTCTAAGAGGTATTTTACATAGCCCTGTTGTTTCCCATTGTTGCTTCTATGCTTGGCGTTTTAATTGCATACTGATTGCGCAAAAAGGTTTTATACAATTAGAATTACGTGCTGAACATTTCTCATGACTTGGTCAGCTGTGGTGTCCATAAACATGTATGGTTGAAGACTTGTTTCACAGCTGATTCATTTCCTGAAGCACTGTTCATGCTATACATCGAGTTTCCTCGATAAGAACAGTATGTAATTACATGGTTATAAGCAGCATGAAGAAGCAAGCATGTTATGGTTACGTCTGGGACTTTTAAACTTGGGTGCTTGACTTCCTAGACCCTTACCCAGTTTAGTGTATTTTTGTAAGTAATAAGTAGGAAAGTCATTAATACATGCTTTCTATTTTCACGAGTTATGTTATCCCTTTGAGTGTGGTTTCTTACCAAAAATGTTCAGAATTTTGTTTGTGGTGTTAACGTTTCTGGCAAAATCTCCCACTGACTTTAATGCTAACAGGTGCTTTGACACTTCCCACGTGGTGGGGTTTTGTTTGCTTGAACCCAGTCCTCAGATATAGAGAGATAGAGGTGACAAAAATCTCCTCTTTGAGGGTTTAGCATTTTTGACCACAAACTTGACCCCTTTGTAATCAGCATTTAAACATAGGCTTTATGTATATGTAAATATATGTAATATAAAATAAATACAAAAATACTGCTTTTGTGTGGTACTTTATATTCTCATGATATGGTATGTTGTATGTCTGGTGAGAGAAACAAGTATGTGCACACTTTCTCATTCATTTTCAAGTAAGTAGATAAAGGAATAGTTTGAAAGTGAAGCCCAGGTTTCTCTAAGTGCATCAGTGTGTTAGCAAACCAAGGAACTTTTCAATAATGTTGATATTAAGTGAATTAATTTGGAGTTAATGTATTCCTGACTATTAAATGTTTCTTGCTTTTTGCATCTGTAATGCTCCATAGACTCCTGAGGTGAGGCAATAGCATGTAATTCTTCCCACTGCTTCCCATTCCCAGAGTTCTGCTGGTGGAATAAACTTTATTTCCAAGTTTGCATAGTGTAACTTATTAATGAGAAATATATGTTCACAGATGTAATTATTTATATATGACTTCAAATAAATAGGCTAAAATATGTGAAGTAGTGTAGTAATAATTACTCTTTTTAAACTAACTCTCTCAGGAAAACTACTTACTATACAGATTGCTGTGGAATGAACTGTTCTGATTTAATTGCCTTCTGTCTTCAGCTGTTCAGTCTTCCATGAACTGATGCATGCTCAGAGCAGTGACTTAGTTTTTGCTCTGTCTTTTGATTCACTGTCCTGAATAATACATAGAGTGTCACAATGGGAAGGTTTTGCAGGGCTTGTGTGCTGTGTGCTCTTTTAGAAAGCCCCAGGAGTTCTCACAGGTGGTCAGACATAAACTCTCACATCTTCACTGTGAGCCATCATGCTGTCATTCTCCGTAGAAGGAATCTTGAACTGTGATCCTCAGATTAGTTGGAGAGGATTTGCAGGTACTCTTTGACTTGCTGTTTAGTGACTTGCGTTATGGTACGGCATGTGACCAGCCAGTTATGACTGTAGGAGATAGCTATGAATTAACTTTTCCTAGAATGGTTTCAATCTGAACAGTTTCTGGTTTGGGTTTGGAAAATTAGTATTGATTTATGAGGGGAAAAAACAGCATGGAGAGGGAGAGAAAATTATTTACTGAAGAGAAAGAGTATGAAAAGCCAATTTTTCCCCACTCCTGCCATTTCTTCCTTTTTACTTCCTCTTTCTTCTGCTGTGTGGTAGGTTAACCTTAAGATGAAGTAGGCTTTATCACATTGCTGATTTTGGGGGGAAGGGAAGGGAGCATGTGGTACATCAAGTTTGTTAAAACTGAACTTCTGACAGTTGTTTACTTCTCAGTGTTCTTGTGTACTATTTGACACAGTAAAATCATTATTTGATGATTAAGCAATATCAAGATCAGCAAGTATGTAGCATTTTACCATAACAGCATAGTGAAGTTCTCTGAAATAGATTCTGCTTCCTGCATGGCTTATGAGGACTGACTGTCTTGCAGCAAGTCCTGTGAAACTCTGGCCAACCGGGTGGCAGGGCAGTGGTTGAAGAAGGTTCCCTAAACCAAATTTTGCACATTTTGAGTAAACTGTAAATATGCTCAAACTGTTTTTTATTGAATTCAAGCATGAAAAGGTTCCGAAACTAGCTAATATCTTGTTTTGTCTTTGTAAGCCTGATAAATAGGTGGAACAGCCTGATGTATGTGTTAAGTGGCATTTGAGTCTTCAGCTGCATGTTTTCCCTGTGCAGTGATTCAGTTTCTTAGTGTAGATAAAATTGATGAGAATACTGCTTTTTGAAATGTGATTTCAAGTCTGGTTTTGACCTAAACTTCTGAAACTTAGTTTAAACCAGAAATCCCAAAATTTTGTTTTGGAAATGCACAGTGTTTCCTGAAACTCTGCAATAACTTGGCAAAATTGGTATTTTTATCTTTTGCATAATAGCTGCTTGAAATATTTGGGTCTGTTGCTTAAAAGTTGTCTTCCTGAACTTCTGAACTCCCGCATCATACTAATAAGATTCCTAAATTTTCAACCTGAATCACTGAACAAAGTTTCATGGAATCCAAAACAATAATGATAGGCTGCCCCAGAGTGAGGAGACACAGGCTATTTTCCCAACCATAGATCCTGGGAATTTTTATTAACTCCCACTTTTCATTAGAATGTTGATAGTATAGAAAATATATCTTCCTTCCCAAACACTTGTGAGTATATTGCGCAGATAATCCTGAATCATAGAATGTTTGGGTTGGACAGGTGTTATTCCTGATTTTCAATAGATTGCAGTGTAGCCATATATGATCTATGTTTAGTGATCTAAACTCTTGCAGTTTTAAAATGACATGAAATTTCTCTGATTATATTTTTTTACTTAATTACTTTCATAATTGTGCACCTTTCTTACATATATCCTTTTTCTTACTATATAAAAGAAAAAAAAAAGGGAGAAAAGCAGTTGTGATTCCTGTGCTTTTATTAGAATTTGCTGCCTTCCCCCCCCCCTTTTTTTTAGGATAAAGGGAAGTAATCTTTGATGTAACATCTTACTTTGGAAAAAAAAGAAGTGTTCCTTGACTGAGTAAAATTCTGAGACTTGCAATACAAGCCTTTCAAATTTTATTTAGCTTCCTGTCACCTGTGTAATACAGACATACTTTTTTTTAAACTTCATTAGACAGCCTTAAACTCTTGCCCTTTGAGATGGTAAAACTGGAATTCAGCACCTTTCTGTGCTTGAAGGGCTGGAGACCTGATGATTAAGTTTTGCCAAGATGAACGCATAGTGTTTGACAGTCCCAATTATTAACCGTCTAATGGACATGAGTCTGCAAAGTGTCTCTGCAGTCAAGAGAAGGGATCTAAGTTTTCTGGTTGGAAAGAGGCGCGTGAAGATCTACTTTCTCATATCAGCTACTGCTTATTCTGTTTCTTCTTCTTGCTCATCACTCCTTTGACTCTAACATACTTTAGGTTGCCATAAGAAGCACCATGGGACAAGTGTTACGTGATTTCTAGTCCTCTGTTGACATAGGCATAAGCATTCATAACTCACCTGGCTAGTTATGGATTTGTTTTGTTTGTCACATATTCTGTTTAACAATTACTTTTCTCTCTGCATCAGTATTAAAAGGAAATGTTAGGATTTTAAAAGTGTACAATGATTAGATGTAGTGTGTGTATGTGTGTGTCTACATTACGTTACAGTGACTAAAGACAAACAGGGTGCATGTGAAAGTGGCAGGATAGCATATTCCTTTTATTATTTTTTCTTTTAGGTACATGTATCATGTTTTGACTAAAAATACAACAGTAACAGATCACAACCGCAACCTGCTGGTAGAGACTATTCGTTCTATAACAGAGATCCTTATATGGGGGGATCAGAATGACAGCTCAGTATTTGAGTAAGTACTTCTAAGCAATTTTGACTCTCACTTTGTTTTTGAAGAATGATTAGAGTTGCGTAGAGATATAGTTCAAAAGGTTAATCTTTCCAAGACTGTATTTCATGAATGTAGGCAGAAAGCTGTGTCCTGTAGTAGACTGGTAAGTGGGATCATATTCTTGTCATACAAAAAAAATGAGAATTTGCTTCTGTTAACAAAGTGTTACATGTCCAGAGCCCCTTGCATGTACTGCTTTTGTTTGACTTTCAAATCTTTGATATGAATATCAAATGAACCTATTTTAGGGCTCAGATTTACTCAGTACATCTATTGTATCATATGACTTTAATTTGTTAAATTTGTGTAAGATACTACAAATAGATATCTTATTCTAACTATGATATTTAGAGGTTTTGTTCAGATGTTATTTTAATCCTCATAAATAAGCATGATAGAAAAATGAACTTCAAAACAAATATTCACAGTTGCAAATCTGTTGCTTCAAGACACTTTCTCTTTTATAAAGGCAATTTGTGATTGAGATAAGTAAAGCCAAGGTGCTTGGTGTTTTTCATTACTTACTTAGGGAGTGGTTGGTTTTATTTTTATACTGTAACTCCATCACATGCCTCACTGTCTTCTCGGTTTGGAATAATTTTAGGAATGAGGAGTTTTTTCTGCAGTCAATGTAAAAAAATTTTCATAGGTATGTATTTGTGATGTTCTGGTAGGAAAGAGTCCACACTGTTCTCTTTAAATTGCATGCATTCCTGGTTTAAAACCACTGCAAACATTCGCTTCTGTTTGAATTGTACAATAAACTGTGAAATGCTGGCTTCTGGTGTGGAAAAAAAATTAAAGTGGATCAAAAATAAGGTCTACACTGTTGAAGACAAAAAGTGTGTTAGCTTAAAAGGGAAAAGTGAACAAAATGTAACCTTCATTTAGAGGCTCTCCCCTTCAGAATTATCGTTGCAAGGTAGGGAAGCTGCCTGATAAATTGAATATACTAAAAATAAAATTAAAAAGGCCCTGATTTCTTGACATCCCTTTTCTGCATAATTTGAATGTTTAAGTGCCCTTGTTAGTGTTTAAGGTTTTTGGAAGGTATTCTTCTGTTATACAGATAAAACTTAGTAAAATAATTCTTCATAAATGTAAAACATTTGTCAAATGTTTGTCAAACTTGCCTAAGGTCATCTTCCATCTTAGTAAAATTGTGTTCCTGATTAAGTAATTTGCTGTATTTATGACACCTCTATTTTATTTCAGCTTTTTCTTGGAGAAGAATATGTTTGTTTTCTTCTTGAACATCTTGCGTCAGAAGTCTGGTCGTTATGTGTGTGTACAGCTTCTGCAGACTCTGAACATCCTTTTTGAGAATATCAGTCATGAAACATCACTCTGTAAGGGCACACTTTTAAAGTGTTTGGGATTAGGTGATAAAGATATGATTGAATTACCTTTCATTTAATGAAACTTGCTCCTAGTGCCCCTTCATAGAAGAACTATATGAATTCCTGACAATCTTTTTATTTGAACAATACTGAAAATACAGTGTAATTTGACTCCAATTACCTTTTAATGTAATTTTTCAGTAGTATAAAAGTAGTTGTTTGGTACTACTGAAATACTTATTTAGCATATTTCAAGGGGTTCTTTAAATCAGCAAATTAGTTGTGGTCTGAAATGTGCGCCTTGCTGCCCCAGATTATGTGGTGGAACTCTGTTGTATAATTTGTACTGGAACTGTTCTGACATCATTGGGGCTGGCATTCAGCAACTTGTGTTTACTTCAAGGTTTTTAGAAACATATAAAGAAGACGGAGAATTAATAGTTAAATTATTCCACAACTGCAATGAAGAGAAAGTCATATACAAGCCTTTGAGAGTTTGGGGGGAAAAGAGAGTTGTTTTCAGTGTTATTAGCTGCAAAGCCTACATAAATTGGGGGAGCTGAAGTATATTCTTAGTTGTCCTGCTCTTGGGAGCAAAGATCTTTGTAGGGAACAAACCTTTGTAGGGTTTCCTTTATTACCACTTGAAACCATTGCTAGATTTGTTTGGCCAGAAATTGGGATCTTCAAGCATCAGGTAGTTTTTTGCTAGGTACTTTAAATACAGCTAGTTAGCATAATGATTGTTTTTCTTTCTGTTAACCTGTGTAACGTCTCTTATTTTTCAGACTACCTGCTCTCTAATAACTATGTAAATTCTATTATTGTCCATAAATTTGACTTTTCTGATGAGGAGATCATGGCATATTACATATTATTTTTGAAAACTCTTTCC